TAAATTCAGTTTAACATAGAGGGCATTTCAATTTTTCAGAACCTCATTTATTAATTTCTGCCATCGTCTATTTATGAACTATGTATGCTACAAAAGTCTAATGTCCCAATTTAATAATGGAACCTCTTTTCATCTTATAAACACTCAGTCTCTAATTAGATTGGACAAGTTAAAACATTTGCTGGATATTCAACAATATTATCAGACTAATCTTATAATTTCATTAAACAATTAGAGTGTTTATATAGATTAATTTTTTCTTTAACAGTTTTATGCAATTCTAAATTGATTATTGTTGCCATCTTTTCTAATACTATTCTTTAAAAATCTGATAAAGTAAATTATCGATCTAATTCGGCTTAATTTTCTTTTTTCATCCAATATGCTCTAACAAATGAATCCTTGTTATTATTGCTATTTAAGATAAAATCTGTTAATGTAATTTCATTTTTATCTGTCCTGCTCACTACATAAAGCTGATTTCCAGGGTAAGACTTTTTAATTGTTTATAGAAATTAGAAATCTACAACTAGACAATCTAAGAGCTACTAATCAGAAGTTAAGGGGAAAATGGATGAACAACCTATTTTGATGCATCGTAGGTACTAATTTGACTCCCTTTCCTGCAATTATTTGTTTTTTAAATCTTTAAAATTTTCAATTTGATAACAAATCAAACTAGTTAATTCATAAGCTTCAATATGTTTACAATCCTTATGCCTTACTGGGATGGTTATATTTACATTATCTAGTAAACATAAGGACTAGAATTAAAATTAATTATTTGACTAAAATCTTTAATCATTTAAGGCTAGGTTAAGAAAGTTTGAAGCATTTTAATATTGATCTTCTTTATTTTATGTTAATAATTGTATTATTTATCTTTAAATTTTACTTGAAGTTAAAGGATCACCGAATCTTTTTTTATTTCTTTTAATATGGCTTAATAAGATTCCATGTAATACAGAAATTCTATCTGTTAAAGGGTGGAATTCTTAATTGATTCTAATATAGAGATCATGTGGTGTAAAATCAGAAACTTCCTTATAAACAATTTGACAATGAAAGCATTCATAATTTCTTCTCTAAGAATTAAATCCATCTACAACATCTTAAAGATTGATGAATTTGTCACCACCAAAATGAATGCATTGTTTTCCATAAACCTATTTAATACCATAATTAATTACAGGATAGTCATATTTTCTACCAGTTTTTACATTTATCAGTCGAAAATCCAGATTAGTCATATTACTAGAATCATTAATTGAATCGTTCTTTTCAACTATTCGAATGGCATGATGCAGCAACATTTAAAATTAAATATAATAATTAATGAATCTTTGCAAACTCATTTTTTATTAAAAACCCAATTTTCATATATATATAGAGATTTTGTTCTCTTTTATTTCTCTTTCTAAATTCAACTGTTCCACATTCACATTTCGTTAGGTGAGAGGATTTTAATTTTGAAAAATTATAATTATGAACGCTCCTTATTTTAATATAAGGGTTATATATACCATGAGGCGGCTTACGTTCTATTTTGTATTTTTGGTGTTCAT